TGGGAACCAGGGAGAACCACAGCTTCCCACCAGGTTCAGCTGAGACATTCTCTTCCATCCTTCAGGTTCAACCAGTGCTACGGGGTGCTGGGGGTGCTGGATCACCTGCATGGGACTGACATCATGTTTAAGCAGACCAAGGCCTATGAGAGACATGTCCTCCTGCTGGGCTTCACCCCACTTTCAGAGAGCATCCCTGATCCTCCAAAGAAGATGGACAGTCCGCTTGGACCATCCAGAGTGTTTCCTCACAAGTAGGAGGTGTGGAGACTGCCTGGGGGCCATGCTGCCCTTAACAACTTGCCTCCTTCGGCCTCCATACTCTAAGGACTGTACCATTAGGGTAAAGGGAATGCAAGCTTCCTGCCGGGACAAGGCCATGGTATGATCTGGGCTTCTCTCAAACTACTTCTCATGTTCGTTAGGACCAGGAGTTGACTTAGGAAAGAAGAACTAGTTATTTGCACTGGACGCCATCCAATGGAGAAAAGTCACCGAGAGCCTGGGGGAATCCTTGGTCCTTGGCTCCAACACCCCAAAGAGCCAGCTCCCCTGTGGCCTAGGATACAGAGGATGGGGTGATAGTGGGACTGGAGGCTTCCTGGCTCCACAAACTGCTTTCACACCCATCCAGGGCACCCTGTGTAGTCACAGGCCACATGTGTTGACATGCTAGATGTGGTCCCTGCTTCCTCCCAAGAAAGCCTGGGTGACTTTTGCCCTCCAAAGATACAAATCCTTCAGAAGAAACAATGACAAGCCACAAGAGCTTCTCAGCATGACATGCACCCCAGCCCCTGTGCCTTAGCCTGTTGTTATTGGGGCTGAATTGGTGTGGGGGAGACCCAAGTCAGTGCTCTCTAAACCCAAAATAATCTCCTCCCCCCAACAATGAGTCTCAGAAAACACGGCCCAAGGGCAGTCCCGTCTTCCTTTAAATGGCTAATCAACTAAACATGTCCGGGGAGTAGGTAGCAGTGAGCTTCTCTGGTCCCCTTTTCTAGCCCCCCACCCTGGCAGCTCATGCTTAGGAAGCCTGGGATCCCGAGAACTTGGCAACTAGGTTGGATCTGGAAGGCTGTCTCCACTACCATTATCTAAATCTCAGCCCAACTGTGCCGAGCTTACATTTTCAGTTCATGGTTAGCCAAGACTCCTTAGTGTGGCTGAAATAAAATCCTTTTCTTAACAGAGTTTGGTGCAGTGGTTTGCACTACAGTCCCAGCTGTTCGGGGGATTTAGGCCCAGGTCAGAGGCAGCCTAGACAAACACAGCATCAATGTCTGATGAGCCAGTTCTCTATTACAGGGTCCATCCTGTGGTACTGAGGCAAGTGAGCATTCTGCAAGTAGTCCCAACCTCCTCTGGCCTTGGTAACCTGCGCCTTTACATTCCTTCAAAATGAACCCGCTCCCTCACCCTACCTGTCTCTGGATGGCAGCCATTTCCCCTGGTCACATGAACATCTCCGAAATGCTTTTGTAGTATCATCAAACGGGGCACGGACAAGAAGTAAAACATGGAGATTATGAGGTTTCCCGAAGGGTACATGGCCTGTCCCTATAAGATCCTAATATTGGTGAAGAAGGTCTTAAGTTCTCCATAATAGCATGACAAAGGAGAAGCATGTAAATAAAGTCTCTATTTACCTCCAGTAGATAGTGTTGTTTCCTCCCGACACAGACACACACTGCAAAACTCCACACCACTGAGGTAAGGCCACACAACCGAGGAGCCAGCCAACACAGCCTCACAGGATGCAGGGTCCATGAGGGTCAAGGCTGGCCAAGTGTCTGGATGCACTGCAGCACCAAGGGCCCTGCCTTAGGTAGATGCAGTCTCTAAGAGGCTGCACTGTACACTATGCTCATGCAGAGATAGTCTGGGCTTCTCCATCTGGGGACACACACCAGATTCCTCTCTCACCCAACAGCAGTGTCCCAGATGGGAGACCAGCCAGTGTTTTGCCTTTTCAAGTTTTTATTTTTATACATTTTTTTTTGTATTAAAAAGAAAAGCATAATAATTACCACCAATTACAAAGGACTAGAGCAGGACCAGAATAATGAATGAATCACTTCAGCCTGGGAAGCAGACACTCTCAATAATATTAATGTTATGATACAAGCTCATTCAAGTATTTTACATTTTGTTGTCCTGTTGAATGTGACATCCTAGCACATGGTAAAGACAATGTACGAGCGTAAGGTGGAACCTTCTCTGAAAAGCCCATGACGAGTTTTCCTTTCCTGTGAGAACTGGGCTGAGTGTTCTCTTCTGCCTCTGCCATCACCATAGCTGGAGGAGAGAGAAGGGCTGGGGAGAATCCAGGGGCCCTTTAACAAGAGAGGTAGCCTGGGGCTCCCATCCAGGGGACCAGGCACCCCAGGCCTCTGGTACACTCCACCATTAGCCTTGTCTTCAAGCCCTTTCCCTTGCTTCCAGACCTTCCAAGCAGCTTGCTTTCTTTTCTAAATGTCATCAAAAAGGAGTGGGAAAGAGCAACAGAACACAAACATTTAACAACATGACATGGGCTCAGCACCTCTGTCTGAACCTGGGGTCCAGGCTGGAGCAGGGCCAGGCAGCCTTCTCTGTGAATAGCGCATTTGCCTTGAGGCTCAGAGGGCAAAACAGTCTGCCCCTCGCTGGGCCCAGGCCAATGACCAACCCTGTGCAGGCAGAGGATGAAGGCGGTTCAGTTGGCAGGCTGTCTCTGTCTCAGGTCTTGGATCCCGTGGGAAGATGGTGATGGGGAAGTGGCTTGCTCTGGTGGCCCCTGCCACTCCTGGCATACTTGTCACAGATACATCGGTCCTAAATTCAAGTGTCTTCAGAAGGTGAAGATGTAAACTACTCTGCAACGTCAACTCCTAACATGTCACAATACACACACACACACACACACACACACACACACACACACACACACACACACACACACACATTCCCACCCCTCCTCAGCCTGTATTGAGATGATAGCCTTGCCTTACTGTCCCAAAAGGGCTTCCTCCCTCAGGGGACCTGAGAGGATCAGGGAGAGAATGGCGAACCTAGCCTTACTAGTCTAGATGGGAACAACCTTCCCTCCCCCGGGGCCTCAAAGCCCTGAGGTTCTGTGGTGCTGGACACAGTACAGGGCTGATGGGGAAGGGAAGGGAAGAGAAGGGAAGGGAAGGGAGCCCACTATTGGTGAAGGTACACCATAGGGCAGGTACCGGACTTCGGGAAGGTCTCAGATCCCATCAGCAGATCCTATTCCTGTATCATTGGAGACAACTGAGTCACAGGAGCTGACATGGGATTCGCACACACTAAGCACCGGGACTGGGGCAGGGCACAAATTAAAAGCAACAAGGTACCCAAAGACAGAGGGCAAGCCAGCCTGGGATGCTGTGTCCTAGTCCCGGCTTTTGGGACAATAGAGGAACTCAGTGATGAGAAGGGCCACACAAATTTCAGTAACTGAGCAAGAAGATCACAACCCCCTTGCGCTGCCCGGGTTCCAGTGTGGAGGTGAGCATTCAGTCTCCCCAGCCTGTATGCTCAGTCCTTCCCCACCCTCCCCAACTCGAGGTGACAGCAGCCTCCAGCCAGTCCTCTAGCATGTGCAGGGCAGCTCAAGCACATGGTGGCTTAGGAAGAGAAGTCAGGTATACTCTATGTCCACATATACCTTCCTGCCACAGGGCTTCACCAAACGGCAGGATCCCCCAGCCCTGGGTTCCTCTCACCCCTTGATCCCAGGCAGGGTCAGTGAAAGGGTGGGTAGAGATGGCTTGCAGGGGGTGGGAGTATTAAGATGGGAAGACCACACCAGACCCTTGAAGAATGGCACCTTTCTCCACATTGTGAGACAAACCTCCTTGAGGTCAAAGGTCTTTAAGGTCAGACACAGATCTAAGCTGTGGCCATCAGTGGGTGTTCACCTCCTTGCTCTGGGGTTAGGGAGACAATCGGTCTGAGGACAAGTGTGTGCCAGACAAGAACAACTCTGTTTACAACAGTCTGAAGCAAACTTGGCCTTGGGGTTCCGAGGGCAGGGCAGGGCGGCTTGGTGAGACGGAGCAAGCAGAACAAGGACAGTGGCAGCGGTGTGCAGACACAGGACGATGACGATGACGTCAGCTGGAGACGGCAGTCAAACGGCGGCAGGGTGTCCTGGCACAGCTCTGAGCGAGCAGCCCCCAACTCTCTGGCCTCCAGGTGGGAGGCCCTGTACATGCAACTCAGTCCCGAGGAAAGTTCTAGTTAGTCCAAGCCCAGGGGCATCCCAGGCAGGCGGAGCTCTTCGGAGGCTCGAGGAGGAAAACAGGCATTTGGGCATGAGTTCAGGTTCCCGCTCCACAATAAGGCAACTTTTAAAAAAATATTATTTTCAAAAACAGAACAGAAGAAAAATTCCAAGGAGGGGGAAAAGACGTCACTTTCTAGGAATTAGGTGGGTTCTGATTTTTTTTTTTGTCATTTTTTTAGTGGTCGATTTTGTCTTTTTTTTTTTTCTTTCTTTTTTTCCTTTTTTTTTTTGTTGTTGTTGTGGTTGTTTTTTGTTTTTGTTTTCTGTTTTCCCAAGGATGGAAAGGTCAGAGAAAAAAAATAAAATGAATCATCTTTCAATAGTCTCTTCTGGTGTGAGCAGCGTCTCTGGGCTGGGGAGAGGGGGAGGGTAGGAGAGGCTGAAACTCCCCAACCCCCATTCTGAGATCCTTTGGTTTCCTTCCCCCAGAGGTGGCAGAAGGGTATGTGGAACAGCAGGGACACGGTGATGGCAAACCCCAGCTGATCGAGGGGCTGGTGCTTCTGGGGCCCACGGGCACCGCCAGAGCCTTCTGGTGGGCTGCATAGTTGGCTGGAGGGGAGCGGAAGAGGCGGGGAGACGGGTCGGCCTAACAGCCGCAAGAAGGGCTGAAGAGTGATTTTGGTAATCCAGACAAACTATCAATAATTTAAAACTTGATATATATATATGTATATGTATATATATATATATATATATATATATAAAAATCTCCCCCCTTCCCCTCCCCCCTTAAAAGTTAAGATGGAAGTCATGGAGACAGGAGGGGAAGGGGTACTTGGAGGCTCCTGCCCAGGGGCACCACTAATAGCCCAAATGGTGTACACCGCTACTTAGTGCAAAGGCCCATCCTAGTTAACTTCAGGCCTGTCCCTTCTCTGTCCATTCTCCTGGGACTGGGCACCCCCATGGATCCTCGCCCACCCCACCCCTTCTATCCCAAACCCCAGGGGGCTTCTGGGCGTATCACTTTCCCAAAGTCAGTGTGTCCGAGTGCTGGCTTGTCCATTTGGCATCTTCCCGAGTGGCCTGGCCAGTAGGTGTCGTAGGGGGTTGGCAGATCCCAGTGGCAGGTCTGCTGGAAGACTGGGAAGGGCACCGCTTCCTGCCCTCACCGCTGCCTCCTGCCACCACTGGGTGTCGCTTGTGGATGCCTTCCTCGCCCATGGGGGGCTGTAACAGAGGAGTCACAAGTGGTCAGAGAGCACTAGCCACACCACTTTCCAGGACCAATCAGAGGCCTCCTTTCCACCTCCAAATGTAGACAATGGCTTGCTCTACAAATGAAGTAGGGTCCATCCTGTCCTTTCATGTTGACACTACCAAAAATAAGGTAACTGACCAAACACATAAAAGTAACTTGTCAAAGGCCTCTTACATTTAGGTCTATATCCTAAAGATCAGGTTTTAATCCTACAATTTTTCCCCCTTCTATGAAGGGGTCTGTCTCTTACTTAGGAAATGACCTGTGGTATGCGGTGTACATCATGGTGCATGTACTGGCTCCACAGGGCCACATACACTGGACTGTCTTACTCCAGCCCTAACTAGGCCCAAAAGCCAACAATGAAGACTGTGATTCAGCTGCCCTACTAAGGCCACCAAAAGTACTTTCCATGTTCACCTTAACTAGTCTACCCAGCTACCTACAGGTTCTCTGCACACACTCTCCTCCCCAAGAGGATGTGTAAACAAACCCAATTTACACATCTGTACGCTGATGATAATTCTAGAGGTTCAGAGTGGCCAGAAGAGTTGGCGGCTCACCAGTCTGGGCACTGCAAGCAGTATCAGTTTAAAAATAACTGAAGACCACTGCTGCTACTTACTTATACCTACCACTTTCTGCTAAAAGTTCAAGAGGACAACAGAGATTGCTACATCATAAACTTTGTGGTTAAAGCCTTTTCTGTCTTCTTTGGTGATGGTCATCAAACACAGGGCCTTGACTAGTTAAACATGTACCTTACCACTGAGGTATACTGCTAGCACCATAGACTATCTTAGCACAGACACAATGATGAGTCAATTAAGCTGACTTTAAAGGCAGCCTTTGATACACTCGGAAGTAATACCTAGACTCGCCACAGGATGTCACTGTCCAGACACTACTTCAGACAATGGAGAACCGGACATTAATTTGCAAGTTTCAGATCTTTTCCGGAAGGAACAAGTACGTTTATCAGGCAGTTGGTCCTGATCCTGACACAAACTAGCAGCAGTGGGCCTGGGCAGTGGGTGAGAGGACAGCAGGAGGGAGGCGGCTGGGAACCCACAGCTCTAGTGAGCACCGTGTCCACTCTCACACCACTTCACATACAGGAGAGGGACGCTGCTCTTTACAGGACAACTAGGAGTCAGGAGAGAGGCTTTCACTCACGTCCACTCGGAAGTCTTCTAGACGTCGGAATTTGCCGAGGTATTCTTGCAGTTTGGGGTCAATGTCCAAATTTTTGGCTTTGGAATATTTCAAGAAGGCCCAGAACTTCTCTAATCCATACAGCTGGCCTGTAAAGAAAGGGGAGAGGGTGGGAAGCTGGGCTGAGATGAAGGGAGAGAGGTGGGGCCTAATATAACAAGGCTCAGGAGGGCTCCTGTAGCTCGGACAGACTCTTACCAGCCTCATAGTCCTTCACAGTCTCCTCCTGGAAATCCTTGAATATATCCAGTCGGAACTTCTTCTCCAGACCATAACTGTAATATCGAAAAAGGCACTCCAAACCGTATCTGTGGAGGGCAGAAGCTGGTGAGCTTGACCCAATGCCCACTAGGACACGGGACTCGGACAGAAGGATGGACGGGCGCGTGCGCGCGAGAGACACACACACACACACACACACACACACACTTTGCTGGCCTAGCAAAGAAACTCTGGAACCGTTATGACAGTGAACTATCCTACACCGGAAACACGGCAGGCCCACAAAAAACCCTCCAGCAGCACTAACACCAGCCCTGAAGAACCAGGACTCAGCCGATTCTGCCTGCCACACCCTGCCCTCACACTGACCTGTTTGCTCTCTCCATGTCTAACTATTGCTGTAGCCCTGACAGACCTTACAGCCCATGAAGCCAAAATTATTTCCTGTCTATCTGTTCTGTTCACAGGAAAAGGTGCCTATCCCTGTGCCAGCTCTCTGACCCACACCAATCAGCAGGTTTGTTCATTTACCTTAGTCAGAAAGTTCACCACTAGGAATGTGTTATCAAGGAAAATACAGATCCTATGTAACAGGCACATACAACTGTTCACAGCTATTATGGAAGAGTCTTTTTTTTACACTGTGAAGATGTGTCTTTGCCAAGGTGCCTTCTGATTGGTTTAATAAAAGAGCTGACTGGCCAGTGGCTAGGCAGGAGGTACAGGCGGGACAGCAAAACACAGAGGATGCTGGGAGGAAGAAGGGCCGAGTCTTGGGAGTTGTGAGCAGTCACAGAGAGAAGCAAGATGAACGTGTTGAAAGAAGGTACCACCATGTGGCAGAAGGTAGATAAGAAATATGGGTTAATTTAAAATGTAAGAGTTAGCTAGTAACAAGCTTGAGCTATTGGTTGAGCATTTGTAATTCATGATAAACCTGAGTGGCTATTGGGACACAGAGAGAGTCTGCCCACATACAGCAGCACTATTAAACAAAACACAAACCTCTAAGAACAGAGAAGTGGTTTAGAAAAATTCTGGAACTGTTACAACGGGCTTAAGCTGTTAAAAGTTCCCACTGAAATTCACTGAATGGGGTAGGAGTGGCGCACGCCTTTAATCTCAGCACTCGGGAGGCAGAGGCAGGGGTATCTCCAAGTTTGAGGCCTACACAGTGAGTTTTAAGACAGCCAGGGCTATACAGAAAAAAAAAGAAAAGAAACACAGTGAATGGTACTGACCACGTTTACAACATTGTGTTTCCAGTGCTGGGAGGATGACCCCTTTGCTTTCGGGCACAAGTCAAGAGCCTGCGCTCTGTGCTAAGCACCCCACAGGCAGGTTTGCTTGTGACACAGACAGAACTGAGCAGAGCAGGGAGCATGTGGCAAAGGAAGGAGGGCTGTGCGCACAAACCACATGACCTTTTAAGCTCTGAAACTGGAGTGTGTGAACACCTTGGCATCTTTACATTTCCAATTTCAGCTCTGGCAGCTGCCTCACTGGGGCCCTGCCAGTCTCCAAGCGCAATACAGAGTCCTGGCCCACTCACCTGTAGCCTTCTTTGGCGTCCTCCAGTGCCAGCTGCTTGAACTCCTCATACATCTTTTTATTGAAGTGATCTCGGAGGAAAAAGGACCAAAAGCGGAAAAGGGTGTTCATCTCCTGAGACTGGCCGATGCCCAAGCGCTTCCGCTCTGATGGGAAAGACAGGAGAGGAGAAAGTCAGGCCAGACTGCCCTTAGTTCACTCAGAACGAACTACTCTGCAGGCCTTGCTGCTAGGTCGTACTGGCCTCTGACCTGGCCATCTGTCTAGCTGAATCTCAACCTGCTATCACTTAAGAGCAATGGTTCTCAACCTTCCTAAGGCTGTGACCCTTTAATGCAGTTCCTCATGTTGTAGTGACCCCAACCATAAAATGGTTTCATTGCTACTCCATAACTAATTTTGCTATTGTTATGAATTGTAATGAAAATATTTGGTATGCGGACCCCCCCCCCAAAAAGGGCCAAGAACCACAGGTTGAACCACTGACTTTGAGGAAGAGGCAGAATAAGCAACTCACTTTTCAACAAATTAACTAGTATTAACAAGTATAGCACGTTAACATAAAAGCACACACACACAAGAGATGGCTCAGCAGTTAAAAGCATTAGCTGCTCTTGCTGAGGACCTAGGTCTGGTTCCCAGCATCCACAAGGTGGCTAGCAACATCTGTAACTCTAGTTCCAAGAGATTCAACACCTTCTTTTGGCTTCCAAGGGTACCAGGCATGCACATGGTACACGGACATACATGTGTGTAAAATACACATATACATAAAGTACAGCATCTGGGAGATGGAGGCAGCAGTTTAAGGTCAGACTTGACTAACAGAAAGTTAAAGGCTAACCTGAACCACATGCACAGGCAGATCCCTGGAGCTTACGAGGCAGCCAAGATAGTCAAATCTATGAGCTCCAGGTTCAAGTGAGACCCTGCCTCAAAAACAGGTGGATCCTAACTCAAAATATATTTGAAAAGAAAAAACAAACAACGCCCCCCCCAAACCCCAAACTCCTACCATAGTGATGTGACAATAAGCCAGCTAAAGAGGATCTGAACAAACATGAGCATCAAGAACAAGGACTTGGGGCTGGAGAGATGGTTCAGAGATTGGGAGCACCGACTGCTCTTCCAGAGGTCCTGAGTTCAATTCCCAGCACCCACATGGTGGCTCACAACCATCTGTAATGAGATCTGGTGCCCTCTTCTGTGTACATAATAAATAAATAAATCTTAAAAAAAAAAGAACAAGGACTTAAGAGGTGCCACCTTACACCTTCTTTTGTAAGGGGAAGGTCTGGGAGCATGTGGAGAAACATTCAACAGCCAGAGTCCCTAACCTGAGCATGTGGCCCATGCTCAGGTTAGGGACTCTGGCTGTTTGAATGAGAATGACCCCTATAAGCTCACGTTTGAATACTTGGTCCCTAGTTGGTGGACTGTTTGGGAAGGACAGGAAGAGTGACCTTGTTAGAGGAGGGTGTCACTGTGGATGGACTCTGATGTTTGCAAACTCCATACTAGTCTCAGTTACTTACTTCTTGCTCGCTTTCTGCCTTCCACCTGCTGATAAGGATGTAAGCCCTCAGCACAATATCTGCCTGCCTACTCCTGTGCTTCCTGGCATGATGGTCATGGATTCAACTTCTGGAACTATAAACCCCCAATAAACTTGTTTGTTGTTGGTTTTTCAAGACAGGGTTTCTCTGTGTAGTTTTGGTGCCCGTCCTGGAGCTCGCTCTGTAGATCAGGCTGGCCTGGAACTCACAAAGATCCGCCTGCCTCTGCCTCCCAAGTGCTGGGATAAAGGCAGGCACCACCACCACCCGGCCTAAACTCTTCTTTCCATAAGTCACTTTGGTCACAGTGTCTCATCACAATAATAGAAAGGTTACTATGAATGACGGGGAGGGACATAATACAGTGCCACCACAACTGAAAACTCCAACTTCCTCCAAAGACTAACAACACTGTTCAAATTTTGTCTTGTACACATCATATGAACTGTATGTTACACCCTCACCCACCTCTCACTCCCAGAGAGTAAAGAAATGCTGAGGCAAGTACAAGCCACAAAGTGGTAACAGACTGGCCTGCATATCCTCAGGCCAACCTATCAAAGCCCTACACCTTTAAGGTATCTCATGTGACCTGAGGCTCTACCAAGGCCCTTCCCTTCTACCATCTTCCAGAGCAAGGGGGCAGAGAATAAGCATTCAGGCTTTGCAGGTAACAAAAATTTGTTACAATTCCTTCTCTTCCTACAACCTCTTCCAAAGAAAAGTTGTCTGCATTCCAGAGCCACTCAACAGCACCGTGAGCTACCCTGGACCCAAATCTTTACTAAGAAAGCCCTGCTCAGTCTCAGCCTAACCATAAAAGCAGTGTCTGGGACACCAGCAACAGCTGACCCAGCAATGTTGCCAGAAATGAGCAAAACCTGGCATTTCCTACACTGAGGGTGAAGATAAGGGTTAGAACACTCTGGGCACTGTAGTCTCTTAACTTCTTGCATTTAAAAACCATCTCACCTAAGTCTAACAAGTTTCACCATGGAGCCAGGCTGGCCTGCAACCCAAGACCCTCCTACTGAGCTTCCAGAATGGCGAGGAACTTCAGTACTTCTTTCTGCAATGCCATGCCCTTTCTTATTCCAAGGTCAAGAAAAAGTCAACTGCTGCCTGCCCTGCCCCCTCTAGCCTTTATACCCTGGGACATTGGTGGGTCACTAAGCAATGGCCAGGGACTAGGCTGGCCCTTACTTACCATTAAGGCAGCGCCTCCGATACTTGTGGTAGACATGTTGTGTGAAGCCATTTTCCTTGAGCAACTCATGGGAAGGATGCTGGAACTTGGGCAGAGACTGCGGGGTACAGCCATAGCTGCCAACTGCAGGTGTTCCTTCGGAAGGACTGGAGCTAGGGAAGCCACAAGAGTGATGGTGTCACCAGTCACAAACTTCCCAGGTAGCCCCACTCTAAGATCAGGAGAGCTCCTTCTGACCTACCAGCCACCAGCTGTGCAGTGACCTTGGGGGAGTTCTGAGAGGTCACTGAGGTTCATAGGGCTTGGGACCCTGGTCCAGGGGTGACAGACAGATCTATCAATGCCAAAGGAACTCACAGTATGAAACTTTCCTTAAATCCTTACCTATTTCTAGTGTCTGCATCCTTGGGAAGCCAAGTACGCAGACTGGTGATTCCCAAACCTTACTTAAAAATAGATTTGGCAAAAATTAATGAAGGGTCTGGGCCCTACACTGAGTGGCTGAGTCATACTGTGGTGCTGGGGACAGAACCCAGTCTTGTCATGACAGCATGTCTTTATAGTCAGGTATGGTGGCAGTCTACTAACAGTCAGGCATGGTAGCTCATGCCTTTAATCTCAGCACTAGAGGCAGAATCTTGTGAGCAGGTGGATCTATGAACTCAAGGCCAGGCTGGTCTACATAACTAAGTTCCAGGCTGGTGAGGGCTGCATAGTTAAGACCCTGTCTAAAAAGAAAAAGAACAAAACACAAAGAAGCTTCCAATTTTCAGGCCTTGGGCTAAGCTTCCCACACGGCTGTATGGATTTAGATTCAGTAGGTGAGTGTCATGTGCCCTATATGCCCCACAGGCAGCCTGACTGCCCTAGCCACAGTACCTAATAGAAGCAGTCCTGGGCCTGTGCTCCCGGGAATCCATCACCCAACCCACATGACTCTCCAAGGGGGGGTTCGAGCTGTGTCTTGTCTTCCTTTTTCGTGGCATCTGTAAAGATGAAACCAGAACTTGTTATCTACACATCTACTACTATGATGTATATCAAGCAGCCCTTAGTATACAAGTGGTACATTCCATTTTACAAAAGCATTTTCTTATTTTGATACAACTGGAGGTTGAACACAAGGCTTTGTGTACCAGACAAGAATAACACCACTGAACTGTACCCCCAAGCCTACAAAACATTTTCACATTATCTCACAGTTGAGGTGGAAAAGCAGGGAGATGCGCCTGAGGCCTCTCATCTGGTCTGCCTTCCTTCAGCCTCTGTAGGCCATGCCTACACCCAAGTCTACTTTGTGAGCTCTCAGCCTACGGATGCTGCCTGAGGGGACCCTGGCCCTTTGTTGGCTCAGACAAGGCAGAAAAGCAGGCAGGACTCCACCCAGCTGAAGGACCTTACCTTGGCATCTAGGGTCCGCCCTTCTTTCACCACTGGATAAAACCGTGATGTCTGACTAGAGTCTTTGAGCTGAGGGGTCCGGGGAGTGCGGGGAGTCCTGGCGTTTCGGTAGTTTGGCGACTCTGGGACAGTGGTTGGTAGAGAACGGGCAATGGTGGAGGGCTCAGGGGCACCAAACAGCTTGTTGGCCAGGGCATCAGTAGGAACTGTAGAGGCAGAATGGGGTCAATGTGCAGGGAAATCTCTGGCTAGGGCTCAATACTTCTCACCCACACTGGGCTTCAGGTACCCATCCCTCACCTTGTTGGAACCGAGGTGGTCCAGGAGGAACCTCCTGGTTAGGATCCACAGGGGGCTCAGGGGTCAGTGTGTCAAATTGCTCCCGACTAATCATATTCACTTTCTTGAAGTTCTCGACTTCTTGCTGTAGATGTGAGGTAGGTGGGGAAGCTGTTAGTCAGTAAGATGCTCTGGCTGGCTCAGGAGTCAAGACTAGCAGAAAACTGGTGAGGATGGCCTCCTTGTCCACACACAGGATTCTAGTCTGTACCACCATCCCAGGTACCTTGGCATTAGGGTACTGAACTCAGTGCTGACCCTGCTCCTCTTCCCAGGCATTGCCCAGTTGGGGAGCAGCTATCAAGGAACGTGCTGCAGACTGCCCTGACACTTCCTGAGTTTTCCTACAACTGGGAGGACACCGCCAGCCACTTTCATCTCTACATTACTCGTGTTCACAGGCTCACCGAGCACCAAACACAGCCACTCCAAAAAAACTGACAAGAAATGTCTCCACAAGGGTCTCTCTTTTCTCCACTTTCCACTAATAAGAATCTCTAAAAAGACTTTATATATATATATATGTCTGACTAGAGATAACAGTCTAATTTTTATTTTATCTTCCACAAGGGTCTAGCCAACTGTATAATATCAAAATGAATGGTTAGACAGGACAGTTAGTCACCCCACATGCTGTTTACATTGTACACATACACATTTCCTCTGTTAGTATCAGTCATCCATCACCTTCTCATACACAAAGACAAAAGGCTATAATGAAGGTACCTGCCCAAAGTCATGTGGCCAACCTTCCTCTTCTCCACATGTTACAAGAACCCCAGGCCCTCAAGCTATGCTTGAGCCTCACCTTGATCTGTGAATACTCAGGCTCAAACTTCTCAGTCCATAGGTCTTGCTCATAGTAGAAGAGCCCGTCATTAATGACCTTGGCCAGCTCAGCACTCATCTTGGCACGAGAAGTGTGGTTGCCTGTGCGGTCCCCCCCAGGGTGCCGACGCATATAAGGTGGTGTTTGAGTGACAATGAGGATCTTGTTGACATCCCGATCATCAATCTCATAATCAGAGTCCTCATCGGACCAGGCAGTGAAGGTGTTTTTCCGCCCATCCATCTGCTCCATCTCCTCGTCAAACAGGAAGTCTAGTTCTTCTTGCTCATCCTGATCCTTAGACATCAGCTGCTGGGAGGGAAGCTGCTGAGGCAGAGCAGTTGGGTGGGAGAACCTGGGCTCCTCTGACTTCTGAAATAGGGACAGACACCAAAGGGGAATGACCTGGGAATGACAAATGAGGCCCTTGGACCAGATTTTCTAGCTGTCCAAGGTCTCTGGTCTCTCAGTTCAAAAACATCACAACTGTAACCCTGGCAACTCCAGTAAATCACAGGTGTGCTTTCTGGACTCAGCTTCATGGAGAAAGAAACCCCTCCAAGGAGCCAGCACCTTTACTCAGCTACATAGTCACTCACATACAGTTGTCTCTGTTTCCCTCCACAGCCCACATACTGGCTGCTGGAAGCAGGCACAAAGCACAGTTCAGCTGAACCTTCCATCACGTGTCTACTCAACACCTTGGCAGACAGTTTTAGGCAAGCAGCCTTGCTTCAGTACCTTCAGTACTTAGACTGGGTCCCAATCATAGCAGATATTCAATGGTTCAATGAGTGAGCACCCACCCAACAGTACCAAGCTCTGTATGAAAGCCTGGATGAGCACAACAAGACCCTGTACTTAGGAACTTCACATCTCAGCAGGAGAAAGCAACCCAGCAGCCATCTGCAGCATGGTTCAACAAGGCTCTTAACAGGCCTAGGAAGTACACAAGGAGGATGCTGAGCCAGCCAGAGTTGGGTGTGGTTAGGAAAAACTTCCTAGAACAGACCACTAAAGGAACAGAGTGGGCTAGGCAGAAAAGACAGAACGTTCCAAAGGTAAAGTGAAACATTTCAGTGGTGACAGATTGAATGTACCTGACACCAGGAGAAGCATGTCTCCCATACAGTATACATCCAAGAAGCAATTCTCTGTTGGGCCAAGCACTTCCCACAGAACTCCCTTCTTTTAAGGTTCAAGATATGAAGGAGAAATGGGGCTACCCCTAGGTCCCATCTTTCCAGAGCTTGTACAGTTGCCTGGGCCCTGGAAGGTACTTGTCTACTCAACACTACTTCTCTTGGCTGAAGCCAAGAACAGTGAGATATTCTGGGACTGAGCAGACACAGAGAGGGAAAGAAAATGGGAGAGCCAGACACAGTGGCAAAATACATACAGAAGGACAGAACTAGAGAGAAGACAAGTCCAAGGTCAGCTCGGAGGCCACTTCACAAGGCCCAGACTAAAGGTCTCCAAAGAGGGAGCTGAGCTTGCAGAGTGGAAGAAATGAATGGGCCTGGAGAGAAGGCAGTGATCCTACCTGGAGTCAACAAACACACACTGCTTTCTGCTTTCTAGGACCCAGGGCCACCTTATTAAGTTTTCAGTTTAGACCCTCAGGACTAAGCCAGTCCTCACCCACCTTAGGGCGTGCTGGGGAGGGTCTAGGCCTTTTCTTCACTTCAATCCAGCTCTCAGAATCCAGGTCTGGGAGGCTGGCAGACAGGCCCTTGGGAAGAGTCTTCAGGTTGCTGACCTCCTCTGTCTTGGTTGGCACCGGGGTAACAGCACGGGGAGAGCCAGGTGCTGATTCTGAAGGGAGGAAAAGCCGGGCTTCATCATCCTAGTCTTTTCCAGGGCAGTCCTGAGGTGGCTGCACACTGGAGGACAAGATGACGTCTAGCCACCACTGGGGCACCTACCAGTCTCCTTCTGGTAGTGCTGGCGGGGAACAAACTCCGGGCAGTTGAGGAGCTGAGAGAAATCTGTTTGTGAATAATCCACTATAGGGGGACCAGGAAGTGGCCACTTCTCAGGTTGTTCCCTCCTGCGGACCTTCTCCTCAACGATCTCCACCACTGTGCTGTCCTTTAGAGCCTGCAGAGGAGGAAAGACAGGAATGAAGAGGACTACCTGGGGCAAACAGAGAGCTGGAGACAAGCAGGCCCCTAAGCACATGGTTGAGGCCAGCAGCAGTAGTAAACATCTGGCCACAGTCTCCCTGACTGACAGGCACATAAGCACAAACACGAAGACTAATGTTACTCAAGCCTGCAAGTCAACGTCCAGAAATCAGAGAAAGAACACTTGCACAAAGGAGACCATATGTCCAAGATTTAGGTAAAAGGCTGTTCACAGTGACAGCGACGGTAATAGGAAAAGCACCTGCCATCATGTTGGCAATTTAAACCATAAGACAAGAATAGGTCAGGGCAAATACCAGCCTTTAATTTCAATTTTGAGAAAAAACAGATTTATATAATACAACTGTTGTTAAGAGGCACAGGTAAATTATCATGGGCTATTATCTCTGGATATAAAAGTGAAGATCAGGCCTTTTCTCTTTCTTGCTTTCTCTTTTCTGCGACAGGGTTTCTCTGTGTAGCCCTGGCTGTCCCGGAACTCAATTTGGAGACCAATGTGGCATCAAACTCAGAGATCTTCCTGACTCTGTCTCTCATGCACTGGGATTAAGGGTGTGCAATACCATACCTGACTTAAGAGATTTTCTATGTAAACTCTTTGAAATCTTTTGAGGGAAAAAAAGGAAAACTCAACATGTGGTAACACTGTCATTATGGCCAAGGGAAGAAGAACACAGATACTGCGGGTGGGAGTGCAGAAGATTCACATCTAGAAAGGGTTATGCAGTGTCTTGCAAAATTAGTTTGCATTCACCTTTGGATCTGCCACCCTACTTCTAAAATCTATGCCAGACAAAAAGCTAAACACACAAAGCCATCTGTTATAGACATATGCTGTTTGTGTATCAGTAAAAGCAGTTAAGAGCACTAACTGCTCTTCCAAGAAGACCCAGGTTACATTTACATGGCAGCTACAGTTACACCTACATGGCAGCTCACAGCCATCTCTAACTCTAGTCCCAAGGAGAATCCAACACCCTCTTCTGGCCTCTACAGGTACTACATAAACATGATACACAGATATACATGCAAACAAAGCACCCATACGTACATACCCCTCCTCCCTCATTTCCTCTCCCTCCCAAGGGACTAGAAACCACCATGATTCTATCTTAATGGATGAAACACCATGGGAGGTGTACTATGCAGCTTAAAATAAGAATGGGGTGGTGAGTTCCAGGACAGCCAAGGCTACACAGGGAAACCCTATCTTGTGAGAAAAAAAAAAACAAAAAACAAAAAAGGAGGCAGAATCTTTTATTTTACACCACTTTGCAGCTAGTTCCCAGATACATAAAGTAAATCAAAGAAGTGATAAAATATTTGTGACATATCACCATTTACCAGCACTTGGGAGGCAGAGGCAAGTGGATCTCTCTAAGTCCAAGGCCAGCCTGGTCTACAGAGCAAGTTCCAGGACAGCAAGGGCTAAAAAGACAAACCCTGTTTCAAAAATGAAAACAAACAAAACAATGACAACAAAAAAATAATTTGTCTGTGACTCCTAGCAACAATTGTATGCACATAAATCTGTATGTTTTTCTTTATTTCCTTTGTTTTTATTTTATTCATTTTTTGTTGTTTCTTTATTTCCTTTGTTTTTATTTTATTCATTTTTTGTTGTTTTTCCAGACAGGGTTTCTTTGTATAGTGCTGACTGTCCTGGAACTCATCACGGCCTGCCTCTGCCTCCTGAGTGCTGAGATTAAAGGCGTACACCACCACTGCCTGGCAAATATGACAGTTTTAATACTTATATACCAGGTAGACTTTGAATCAATGTTTTGTACTTAAAATTTTTTAAAAAAATTGATGGGCTGGAGAGATGGCTCAGAGGTTAAGAGCACTGGCTGCTCTTCCAGAGGTCCTGAGTTCAATTCCCAGCAACCACATGGTGGCTCACAACCACCTGTAATGAGATCGGGTGCCCTCTTCTGGCCTGCAGTCATACATGCTGTATACATAATAAATAAATCTTTAAAAATTGAGAATTATGATGGCTGATATAACCTTCAAAATTTGAGCACAAAAAGAAACTAATACACACCAAGTTAAAGGCACAGTGTCAAAAAAAATATTTTTCATGACTTGGAGTCATTTATCTGACCATGTAAAATGCCAAAAAGAAAACAAAAGCCAGTCTGCAGTGGTAATGAATGAATTATTACAGGAACAATATGTACATACTGTGGATTAAAACAAATTAATTGGGAATTTGGGACATGGAACTAAAAAAAGTGGAAGCCAGCCATGGCACACACTTTTAATCCAACACTTGAGAGGCAGGGGTAGGCAGGTTTCTAAGAGTTTCAGGCCAGTCTGATCTACACAGCAAGTTCCAGGACTACCAGGGCTACATAATGAGACTAGTCTCAAAAGGAAAATAGCCAGGTCTGGTGGAAAAATGACTTTAATCCCAGCACTTGGAAGGCAGATGCAGAGGCCTGGTCTACAAAGTGAGTTCCAGGAGACCAAGGCTACACAGAGAAATCCTATCTTGAAAGGAAAAAAAAAAAAAAAAAAAAAAAAAGAAAGGCAAAGGAAAAGAAAATAATCATCTCATACTGTACTTGACTCAACCTAGAAGCATGAACAACCACGCAGCAACAGCAACGCAATGACTCAAAGTGTGGTGTCTAAACTCCAGTTCCTGTGAGGAGGAATTAATGTGGGGTTTTTGTTTTTTTGTTTGTTTCAGGTGGAATGCTTTTAAAAAAAACATTAATTCCTCTTGCTGGGTGGCGGCAGCGGTAGCAGCAGCAGCAGCAGCAGCAGCAGCAACGCACACCTTTAATGCCAGGACTTGGGAGGCAGAGGCAGGAAGATCTCTGAGTTCAAGGCCAGCCTTGTCTACAGAGGGAGTTCCAGAATAGCCAGGGAGATTACATAGAGAAACCCTGTTTTAGAAAACAAAAACAGAAACCCAAAACAACAACAATCAAAGCAGTCCACCTAGAACAGGGTGAACTATGGCCTCATGGACCAAATATAGTAAAGTGTGATCTAACAAAGGACTGAGGAAAAAAAATATAGGGTAATCCATATTGCTTATAACATACAGTGCTAAAGAGGAAGTCCTGAGATCCTACCAGTTACCTTTGAAGGATTTGGGGAACCAACTCCAAGTTCCAGAAACTGTTTACAGGGTGAAGAGGATCAAGCTTCTAGATCTGTCCTTCCTTCCTGTTCTACCCTTGGTAAGTGAACAACTGACAAGCAAATGTCTCCTCAAACTAGTTAAGCAAAGGTTGACTAAAAGGATTGGAGTACCGCATTTGCAACCCTAAGGACATTGTCTCTGCAATAACCCAGAAGTTCCTATCTCAGAAGACAGACTGTTAACATGCCATCCAAAAGAAGACACTAGCCATTTATAAAGCCCCAATTCTCATCATGCCTCTAGAACAGGACTACAGATGAGCATGTGAGATGATGCCTCTGTCCCATGGGACATGCAATCCTGCATAGGAGAGATGGCCGAATTTACCAACAAGGAAACAGCAAGGGAAGAACAAAGGATCGAAGGAGGTACAAGTCAACACACAGATCTGATGTGGACTCTGATCTTTACAAACCATTTTTAACAATGTTGGGTACCAACTTGGGAGAATCTGAAACAAGGCATCAGGCAATGTTAAATAACTTAATATTTGTAGGTGTGATAGTGATAGTGTGGCTACTGAAATGCTCGATTTTCTAGAAGACCTACAAGGTAAGTGAAAGCAGGTAAGGGGTACACAAGCAAGACCAGCCATGGTTGACTCGTGCTGTAGTTGGTGAAGTGCTCACTGCCCTATGGGGGCCCCTTGGGTCTCAGTAGATGCAGGTAGTGGGTTCTTCCAGAGCTTAGACCATCAACTCAAAACTCACAGGGACGACCTTCCTTTCCCACCCTAACCCTGGCAGAAGACATACCGCAAAGATGAGTGAGATGTCAGTGGTTAGGGCCTGTACACGGTGAAAGGAAGCAATAAGGGTGATGGGAAGGAACCCATCAGCATCCATTTTCCGTCTCAGGAAGAAGTCTCGCTCTAAATTGTCCACGCTGAAGTAGTATTCACTAAGTGGGGAAAAAAAGGCATCACTGAGGGGCTCTGGGCCTTCCATTCTTCCTATCCACCCTGGCAACCTCACATCTCTGGCCGCCTCACTTCCTCTCCCGCCATACAGCTTCAAGCAGAGGCTCTCAACCTGGGGGTCACAACCCCTTTGGGGTCAAACACCCGACCCCTTCACAAGACCATCAGAAAACAGATATTTACATTACGATTCATAACAGTAGCAAAATAATTTTATGGTTGGGGGTCACCATAACATGAAGAACTGTAGTAAAGGGTCATAGCATGAGAAAGGTTGAGAAAAAATGATGTCCTGCTACTTTGAGTCAAATCACCCTTTCTACCTTTCAGCTATCATAGGTGAGCCCAACAAGCTAATCCTCCTTTGAAACTCAGTTCCAACACTGTTCTGTTCCTGAAACACTAACACTACACTGCCTATTTCCTTGTACGGGTTCTCCTCTGTTCTGTGAGCCAGCACGTTAGAATGAGTAAGGGCAAAGTATTTAGACAGAATGAGCTTTAATCCTGTACTTTGTTACTTACTGTGATTTTGGAGGAGTTACTGGCCTGCCTGCTCCCCTATAAAACAGGGAAAGGAGACCCAGCTCATAGGACTCCAGTATGCAGAAGTTATAGAATGGGATAAGAATAGCCTGCAATAACTTGGCAAGAGCCTGGCAACAGTGACAGCTCAAGGACGTGCTTGCCAGCATCCACCATGCTGCTGATGGGCTGCTTTGTGACTCTGGGAGTACAGAAGGGAACGAGGCTGCTCACCTGTTAATGGTAGTCTCTACTTTTCTTAAGGTAAATGTGGTTTTACGTTTGTAATGAATAGTATTCTGTGAAAGCAGAAAAGCCATCTTTCACAGCTTAAACAGGGCTACTACAACTATTGCTCACTAGGCCCTGTTCTGGGCCCCATTCCAGGACAGACCAGAAGAGCCTTCATACTCACATCTGGCGCTTGATATAGTCCTTGAGCAGCTCCTGGTCCACATTGTAAATCTCAGTGCTGCTGAGATTGTCAAAGTAGTAGGTGATATTGTTCATGTACTTGGGGGTACGGGGTCCCTCTGTACCATCAAATTTTCGGTAGCCAAACTGGTAGTCAAAGTGGGCTACAGTAGAAATGAGCATCATTAGAGAGGGAAGATTCCCGACTACTACCCTTGCCACACTCCCTTGGACATCCTGGAGCCCAAAGGGGCTTCACGTACTTCGAGTGCCACCCCGTCCACGGCCCCGTCCACGACCACGCCCCCGTCCACGGCCACGGAAGGAAGCCCGAGCCCCACCGGCCCCATCACTCTTCACACTCGATGTCTCATCCTGATCATGCCAGGCAGGCTCTGGTTTGGTCTCTGGTTGCCAGGCTGGGGTAGGTGGGGCCACAGATACAGGCATGTAGGTGACAGGTTCAGATCCTATGGTGAGAAAGAACACAAGGTAAATCCAGAGAGTATCCTCCTCATCCAGACCCTCCAAAGCAAGCAGTACATACCTTTGATCTCCCCTCGGGTAGCAGGTGTATGTCTTGGCTCCTGCGGGCGAGTGGGACGCGAGGCCAATTTCTCTCTTGGGACTTCAGGCTTCATGTCTATTTGCAACGGAACCCACTTGTGTTTGTTCCCTGAGGGACAGCATGGGCATGTGAGAGGCATGGCAGGCCCCTCCCTACATGGCTTTTTTTCCTTCCCCAAAAATTCTGGCCCAAAACTATCCATCTGGTAGCCATAGGTGCTGTGGATATTGCTCTATATAAATAAAACACTGATGGCCAGTGACCAGGCAGGAAGTAGGTTGCCAGGCAGAAAGTAGGTGGGACAAGTAGAGAGGAGAATTCTGGGAAGCGGAAGGCTGAAGAGGGAGACACTGCCGCCACCGCCAGGAGAAGCAGCATGTAAAGACTCTGGTAAGCCACCAGCCACGTGGCAAGGTATAGATTTATAAAAATGGGTTAATTTAAGGTAAAAGAACAGTTAGCAAGAAGCCTGCCACGGCCATACAGTTTATAAGTGATATAAGCGTCTGAGTGATTATTTTATATGTGGATTGTAGGACTGTGGGGCTTGGGGAACCTGGAGAGAAGCCCTCCAGCAACACATAGGCACATTCTTTTCAAATACTATGTCTCTGTCTCTCTCTCAAATCTCTAAAATAAGGAGGTCAGTGGCTCTCAGTGTAAGAATCACTTTCTGGTGAGCAGGACACCTAACTTTCCAGGCTCCCTTCACACCCGGGCCACATCACTGCCTGTAAGAACTGATCAGTTTAGGTGGAGTGAACAGGAAACAGGATGGAGAGAGGATGCTGCTGAAGTGAGAATGAGTCAGACTGCCCACCTCAGGCCTGGCTTGAGGGTCTATGAGAAAAAGCAGTCAAGCCTGCATCATTTTGGCGGGTTTTAGAAACTCAGAGCAATGTAAAAGTCCGTTTGAGAGTAGATGTACTAAGGCTTAAAACACAGCTATTCCAAGCAATGAGTCACCTCCTGGCCATCAGACTTATGTCATTTACAAGTTCTGCAAGCATACCTCCCAGGTCCTGGCCAAGCGGGTGCACTCACCTTTCTTCTTCTGCCCGCCTCGCTGGCAGTCTTCATCCCCATTCTTCTCCTCCCCTGACTCATCTGACTTTGTTTTCGGGCTCTCCTTACTGTCCCCTCCATCTCCTTTCTCCTGCTCCTTCATGTCCTTCTTGGGTGGCAGCTTACGGGCAGGCTGAGGCTTGTGGGACTGTGGCTGCAGTAGGCAAGGGAGAGAGTGCACACTAGAGCCTCTTGGGCTGGAGGAGGGACACACCTGGTCACTGGGAATGTGTTAGGGTACACACACAAGACATGGCCATATGTGCCATGAAGTAGGAGAAACAGTTCATTTCTCTAGCCTACCCAAATCGGAAGGTGGAAGAGATGCCGACCCTGGCTTGTCTGGGTATGACCCACTGAGGTGGTCACTAGCTCAGAACACAAGTACTGAGAAGAACAGAACTGACCAAGAGTCTCTTCTGTTAGGGTCTAGGAGAGCTAATCTGGAACCAGTGCTTGACCTGATATCTCTCCTCAATCACTCAGAAAATCCTGGCACAGTAATAGAGAAATATGGGCTTTGGAAAACTACAACACAGCTGTCTCCTAATCTACTGGACCATCAAGAACTACTAACTTCTGGAGTCAGATCACTGGAAGGCAGAAAGGAAATGAACAGTGCCTGGCAGAGCCTGAAACTAGGCTCACATGAAGGTAATCTCTTAATTATTTTATTGCTGCCCACCTTATAGAACTAGTCTCCTTTTGTTTGTTCAGATCAGAAGAAGGGTGTGTGTGTGTGTGTGTGTGTGTGTGTGTGTGTGTGTGTGTGTGTGTGTGTGTGTGTGTGTGTGTCCTATGTTACCCAGACTGGCCTTGAACTCTTGGACTGAGCAGTCATCCTTTCAAGTAGCTGGGACTACAGAAGTATACTACAGTGCCCTGCCAACTACTCATCTTCAAAACTCAAAAACGGCGAGGCTTATGGCTCTTGGACAAAAGTCAATTAAGTTTATAAGGACAGTATCTGAACCTGTCAACCCCTCCCCACACTCACCTGAACACTCTTGTGGGCTATCTCTCCAGGTGTAGGCCAATTGATTGCATCTCCAAAGTCACCAACCTGCAAGACATAGTCTATGAAGGCCCCAGGGTTACCCTACCTTGGTCATTTTGCCCCACATCTAAGCTCTGGTTTCTCTGAGAGTTGGACCACTTCAGTTTGTAAACTCAAGACACCATGCATGGGCACCCAGAAAGGGCTTCCATGCTCTCCAGAGAGGGACCAGAAGTGCTTACCGGAACAAGAAGAGGAATCGCCCACTGGAGTCACTGTCCCTGCTTCTTACCTTGCTGCCCTTGCGCTGTTTAGGAGCAGCTGCCCTCACCACCTTGGCTGGAGCAGAAGGTTCTATGGGAACAAGGAGAGAGAAAACAGCTGTTTAGAGCCTGGGTCACCACCATACCCATCCGACCATGCACCTGCCGGTTCCCAGAGGAGCCACTGAAGAGAGGGCAAGAACATGTGCTGACAGCCCTGCCCCCAGGAGTCTAACTATGAGGTGAGGAAGCCCTTAGAGTCCAAGAATATATTTCTTATGAAATACCAGCTGAGGTTCAGGAAGGAAGCCCATGCCCAAATATGCACTGTAACTCAGCTTCCAAACCTATGACAAAATCTGTAAGGGAAAGAAATGGAATCCTCTATAAATTTCTGCATGAGCAGAGAAAGGGAAACTGAAGACATAAGCGGACAAGTCCAGGGCCATACCAAGGCCTGCTCTGTCCTCACTGACTATAGTTGAGGCAAGAACCAGCTTCTCTGTCCCTAAAGAAAGCATATATGCCTATTTGACTCCACAGTTCCGTCTGCTTGGACAGCATCTCACAAAAGTGTCTGTTTTGGAACTCACCACGTAGACCAGGCTGAACTCATAGAGATCCCCCTGCCTCTGCCTCCCAAGCACACCACCATGTCTATCCAGTTCCATCTTTTAAATTTAACCCCAATAATGTAAGATAAGAGCTATGCACAATTTCAGTTCCAACAGTACTGAAATCACCAATTAAGTCTATCCACTTTCACCACAGTCATTAAAATATCATGGTCTCAAATTATGTGGAGATGGACACATTGAAAGAAGATAGTCACAAAATAATGTTTCCTATAGAACAGATGAGGACATGTACATTCATTCACATTCACACATCCACACATCCACAGGGCAGGCAACCTCTGGAAAGATGTGTGTTAGGAATGAAGGGTATATCTACAAAGACGAAGATGGCTTTGAAAGAACACAATATGCAATGTCTTTCTTTTCGAAGGATGTGGCTCTGGTTAGTTTGCTCCTGTCTACATGCACATACTTTCCCAACACAGTTCTGAAAACCAAGGGTGTCTGTCTCTCCCTCCTTTAGAGACCCACAGGATTCTACTCATCCACTTGGCTCTTGCTTCCCTCCCCTGCCATTGCCAGGTCAGGAACTGTTCCAGCCTGCAAGCACAGAAATCTGCCCAGCTGGCCTCACAAGAAGGTTCTTCATCAGACCATGTCCTTTAATGAGCAGAAAGTGTCCTTGCCCAATTCCTAACTGTGAGGTCAATGTATTCCTGGCTTCTGGCCCATTACCGGAGCCACTGCCCCTAATGGTAGATAGACACCTTCCAGTAGCTGGGGTTGTAGAGCCTAGCCCTCAGAACCCTTACCCTCCAGCCCTGAGAAGCAGAATACTAGAAAATCTCAGTTGTAACAAAACCACTGTCCTGTCTGTGACCCCAGGTTGACCCAGATAAGCTATCCACCATCTATTAGTTCTGTGACTAGTCTAAAGACCTTCACCTGTGCCGAATTTGGTGGCATATGCCTTTAATGCTTGCACCTGAGAGAGAGACAGGGCGAATCTCTAGGAATTTAAGTAAGGCCAGCCTAGTCTAGATAGCAAGTTCCAGGATAGCCAAGGATACATAGTGACCCTGTTACAAAAAACAAAAAGGTCTTCACCTTCTTCAGCCCAGAGCCAGGCTAGTGTCCACCTGAGCTCTAACTGGAGTAATTTCTTCATGCGCTGACAGCACTGGTGCATGCTAGGAGGAAAGCAGGCCCCAGGGCTAATGACAAAGTTTACCTACCAGCAAGTATGTAAAGACTGGGAGTGAGGAAGACTGAAGTTGTATCTGAAAAGAGGGCAAAAGTTCTCCAGACAATGGTCTTTTTTTGGTTTTTCGAGACAGGGTTTCTCTGTAGCTTTGCGCCTTTCCTGGAACTCACTTGGTAGCCCAGGCTGGCCTCGAACTCACAGAGATCCGCCTGGCTCTGCCTCCCGAGTGCTGGGATTAAAGGCGTGCGCCACCACCGCCCGGCCTGACAATGGTCTTTTTAAATGTCTTGGTCTGGGTAAATAAAAGCACATCAGTGGGGCAGTGGTGGGGCACTCAGGAGGCAGGGCCAGGCGGATCTCTGTGAGTTTGAGGCCAGCCTGGTCAACAGAGCGAGTTCCAGGACAGGCTCCAAAGGTACACAGAGAAACCCTGTCTCAATAAACAAACAAACAAACAAACAAACTAAAAAATGCATGTTGCCAGAAAATGGAACATACTAACTCCAACAAGCTGTCTTCTGATTTCCACAGGCATGCCATGGAGCTCCCATTCGTGCAAGCAAATAAATGCAATAAAACCCTTAAGTTCTTTCCTTTTTTTGTTTTTTAAAGGAAGGGTCTTGCTATGTAACCCAAAACAGCATCAAAGTTCCAGCAATCCTCCTGTCCCAGCCTGCCAAGTGCTGAAATTCTAGATGTGTGTCCCACTGCCCAGCTTATTGCTTATTAAAAAAAAAAAACTCTCAACACTGAGCAGTACTGCTGGGATCACCCTGAGATCTCAGCTGAATACGGCCATGGACTGCAAGTTCTGTCTCCAGTACAGAGAGAAAGCCTCAAGGAGCCTGCTCATTCCTATCTAAGTATCACCTGAGGGACAGAGAAGGTTAAAGCGGCCTCACACTTTCCTGGGTCACACAGAACAGTCTTAAATCAGTCCTATGTGGAGTTTGTTAGAAGGTTCCACCCCCAGAGGGCTCACCAAGAGGCTCTACAGTGTCCCATTTTCCCCTGCTCCTTGCTAGAGCCTCAGACTGCCTCCAACAAGTCCCCGAGTTGGGAGGGGAAACCACACGGGACCCTGGGAAATCCAGCAATGTTCTGATGAGCTGCCACCAGTGCTCTTCAGGAGCTGGAAGAGAGAACTAGGCTTCTGCATGACCTCAATCATACATGCATCATCCTTTGGGTCCCATCCCAGCCACCCACTGTAGAAAGCACATAGGCATGCACATATGCACTACATGTGTACAGGGGGAGGGGGTAGAGACAGACAAAACACTGGTCCAGCGGGACTTGACAACTAAAATCATTTCCAATGAAAAACAAATCTTTTGTGCTGATGCTGACCCCTGTGCCATCCTGCACCAAGCCAAGTCAGCCCTCCTATCTGTCTTCTAAAACCTGCACCTGCCACCACCCACCCAAGCCAAGCTCAGAACACACCACTGTCACCTACACAAGACAGCTATATAAGGTACATCTAACCCCACTGTTTGCAGATAGGGAACAAGGGGAAGGATTTTCCTAGAACCAGCTAAGGGCTAGACAGCTTCATTCTCTTGCAAGGGCTCCTATCAGCCTATGAGGAACCCCATGGGTTCCCAGACAGTCACTGGCAGTAAAAGAAGGCCCCTTCTTACTGTAATGTAGGGCTCTTTTCTATTTTTCCCAACTAGTTATCACAGTCTGGGAACAGAGAAGGGGGTTAGTGTAACACTGACATGGTAAGCCCAGGTCCTAGAACAGCTTCCTCCTCAATTAGAAGCTAGAGGGTACATGAAGAGGAGAAATCACCAAATATTGAGTCAACTCTAGAGAAGAGAGAGAGTGCGTGTGTGTGCGTGTGTGTAACACGAAACCCACAGGGCTGGTCAGTCAGATGGCTGAGGGGGTAAAGGTGCTCACTACCACACCTAGCACCTCAGTTCAACGCCCCCCCCCCCAACCAATATGATTTTTTTTTTTTTTTTGAGGAGGGGATGTCTTTTGAGGCAGGGTTTCTCTGTACAGCCCTGAACCAGGCTGGCCTCAAACTCAAGAGATTCCCTTGCCTCTGCCTCCCGAGTTGCTAGGAATAAAGGCGTGCACGGTCACCACCACTACCCAGGAGACCCCTAAGATTAAAGAAGAGAACGAATTCCCGTAACTGACCTTCACATGTGTACTATGCACACACAAAGAAAGAAAGTAGGGGGCTGGAGACATGGCTCAGTGATTAAGAGCATCAGTTGCTCATCCAGAGGACCCAGGTTCAATTTCCAGCACCCACATGGAGGCTCAAAAAATAAACTATCTCAAACTCCAGTCCCAGGAAATCCAATGCCCTCTTTGGGTCTCCACAGGTAGGGAACACACACATACATTAAATAAATAAATAAATAAATAAATAAATAAATAAATAAATAAATAAATAAATAAATACTAAAACATTTAGTAGAAAGTACATAAACAAATAAAAAAAACCAACCTGAACAATAGCAAAAGTATACCAATATTCCTTTGAAAGCCATAGTCTACTTCTGAAAGGAGGCACCTAGGCCTCTTCCTGAAGCTATCTACATAGCAAACTCTTTCCACTCAATTTTAAGGTTTGTTTTTTTGAGTGGAGGGCACAGAGGAGTCCATTATTTCAGAGGAAGGAATGAGACAAACGACAAGTGGCTAGTGGTGGGTGCTGCAGGGCATTAGTAGGAGCCATGGCAGGGTAGATGGGAGGAGTCCCTGTCCTTACAGTGCAGGGCTGATTACGGAGGTTTTGTCTGTGAGTCTCCACTTTCCAGTGTGCCGCCCTCCACTCAAACACCTAGGAAAGCCAGAAGCACAGTTATGTCCACGGAAGGAGCCCTTTTGAGTCTAGACCTCCTCTGTGAGAAGTGAGAGAATACTTCCGTCAGAGGACCCACTGGAACATTTCAGTCCACAAAACACAGAACGCCCAGCACACAGAAAGGCACTCAACAAATGTGTTACAATTTGAACCCCCATCCCGAGAAGTTAGTATTTACCAATAACCTTCACCCTCCGCGGTGAAGAAGGCCACCAAGCTATCTCTCAAAAGGGAGAGTCACCATTCCAGGAGAGCTCTAGAACAGTCTGCTTCAATTCCCAACCCAGATTACAAATCAGACCTCCAAGCCTGCCTCCTAGGCAGAGAGAGACCTGTGGGGAGTGGGCACCGATATCCTCACACTACCCCAGATTAGAGACAGCTGGGCTCCGGGGTGTTTCCCTCAGGAAAAGGAGAAAACCTTCAGAATTCTACAGCTGAAACAGGAAAAGATGGGGAATTTACTGTTGACGACTCAA